AGGTAAGCAGCGAAGGTGGCTTAAAGCGGTAGCAGCAGCGAGGTGAGCAGTAGACGTGTTTTGCGAAACGGTCTGGAGGTAGGTCCAACAGAGTTTGCCAATGGAGTGGATGTGGGAGGTGAGAGAGGGGGAAGAATGAAAAACAACTCCCAGCTTCCTGTTTATCAGGTTCGCTGCTGTTTACCAACGGGGAAATCTGGGGAGAAAGAGGTTCTGGGTAGGGATCACGAGTTTGGTTTTAGGGGCAGGAAATTGAAGGAGTCACTCTTGGCTGTCTCAGCTGTCTTGACGAGGGTGGGGCTTGAGTGGCTGGGGGCCCAGCTGAGGCTGGCTGTGACTTCCCAGTGGCACTGTCCCAGGTAGCTGGAGGATTCTCCTGCGGAACTCAGCAGAAAGGGGCGGAGGGATGGCAGGGTGGCTGAGATATGGCGGCAAGGCCAGCGTGGAAGGCATTACTCAGTGGTCAAAATGTCAAGAATCCGAATTAGGAGGAAGAGAGCAAGAGGTTGGGAGCAGAAGAAGGTTCCGGTGGGCATCTGGGGGTCTAGGAGCCTGGGGTCTTGTCCACTTTCTCAGGGATGGAGCGCTTTGGGTGAGGCCAAGGGGGAATGGGCAAGTGATTGGGAGGCTGAGTGGACGAGAGCGTGGAAGGATGTTGGGCGTGGCACGGGCCAGGAAAACGAGGTCCCCAAAATGATGCTAGAGCCCGAAATGGAAAAGAAGACCTTGAGACAGGTGTCAAAGTCCTGTGCGAGCAAAGAAGTCACCAAGGGCCACTTGGCAGGTCCCCACGGTGAGAAGAGGAGGGAGATACCAGCAGGATGTCGAAGGAGAAGGCCACAAAGAAGAAAGGATGCGAGAGGGAAAGGTGCTCACTCCTCCTTTTGACAGAATGAGTGGTTTTCCAGACCCTTCCAGGTGAGGGCTGCTTCGTTCCGGATGAGTGTTGGGGGAGCCCAAGCTCCTTCCATCACACAAGGTGGAGAATTGGGGAGGGAGTGTTTATGGTGTAGCAGGTTCCCAGCTGACACAGCGGGACCTCTGGAGGGGACATTGCGAGAGGAAAGAGGAAGAGCCAAGCGGCACTCCTGTGAACGACCCCCTGACCCTCTCTAACTCCTGAAGGAGGTGGGCTCCCTCTCTGGAGACTGGTCCGGAGAGGTGGGCCAGTCTCTCCCTCCCCCATTCAGCCTTCACAAGACCTCCCAGGGACTCCTTCTAAAGTACATACAACTCCAGTCCTGCCTCTCGCCCACTTCGTAATCCCCAAGGGGTGGCCACTGCCCTCCAGGTAAAGTCCCTGCTCTTCAGCTTGCTATCCGAGGCCCTTCTGGATGGAGCTCATCTGCTGCCCTCCTCCTGGCCTCTCTCATCTTAAACCCCTGCAAACCAGCACCTCTTATAGCTTCTGAGCCTTTGCACATGTCATTCCCTCTACCTGGCAGGCCTTTTCCGCATGTCATGTGCCAGGAAAATGCCAACCAATCTCCCAGGCATCTCCTCCCAGGAGAAGCTTCTCTGACTGCCTCAAGGAGCTACGGTCGCCCCTTCCTTTGTGCCATCACCTGCCTCGCCCACCTGCCTCTCCCACTAGACCAGGAGCTCCTGAGGAGGACAGACAGTGTGATACTCCTTTCTCCGTGCTCCATTCCCAGCCTGGCACTTGGGACACAAGAGCACTCAGTGACTATGTGGTAAATAAAAGGACGGCATTATAGGACATTATAAGAGCCAGCGTACTGCGGACTCATTGTCATCCCCGGCACTGCATTAAGCTCTCTTTACATGCACCCCCTGTGTCATCCTCCTAAGGACTGTGGGGTGTAGATATCGTTACTAATATCCACTTCTCGCATGAAGAAACAGGTGAAGTGACTCGCCGAGGACAGGTTCATCAGTGGGAGAGATGGATTTTGAACTCAGAACTCAGGGCTAATTCCATGCACTTACCCACTGTCCCCTGCTGCCTCCATAAAGGACAGAACCACAGGATCTCAGAGAACAGGAGGGCCAGGGAGACTAAGGTCTACGGGGGCGTCTGCGAGAAGTTGACAATAACGAAGTCAGCTTTTCTTCGGGTAACAGTGAGGACCACAAACACTGTTGGTTGCCTACCCAAACACCCATTCCACCCGCCTTTGGTGCTTCCAGTTTTCCCCCTGCCTATGAACGCCCTTGGCCACACAAGGCAGGTACACCCCAGCTGGTCTCAGTTGATGTCAATGGCATCACCTCTCTTGTCCGTGATTGGTTCATTGGTGGGTGTGTGATCCAGTTAGCTCCTTAAAATTGTGGTAAAATACACATAACACAAAATTTACCACTTGAACCATTTTAAAAGAGACAGCTAAACTTGTCTCTTTTGAGACAAGTTGCAGGACTTGGTTGGTGAAGACGTAGTGCCTGGAGCTTCTGCAGCCTTCCTGGGGTCGTGAGGAGAGGAGCCAACACATTGAGGTCAATAGAATGAAAATACAGGAAAGAATCTGCTGTGATTGCAGAGCTACCGGATCACCCAACCTCAGTCCTTCTTGATACGTGACATAATAAACCACCCTGCTATCTAAGCTATTTTGAGTGGGTCCTCTATTACTTTAGCTGAAAGTATATTGACACAGTGTCAGTGCAGGCGGTAGAAGAGTTTTTGCCTGGGAAAGGATGACACAAACTGTATGAACTTGAACAGTCTCTAGGAGCTACTGCCCTGGTCGGGTTCACTGACCTTTGGTCTTCGAATGAGAATGATGATCTTGGCCTGGGTGAGTAGTGATAGCGACTTGGGACTTCACCTGCAGGTACAGTCTGGCAGCCTTGGGGTTCAGTTTACCAAACATCAAACACATATGTCCATGGTGCTGGGACCATGAGGATGCATCAGACACGGTCCTTGCCCCTCAGGGGTTCCCAGTGGAATGGGAGAGACAATCCCAGGCCAGTGATGAGTGACGTACAGTCTACATCAGGTCCAGAGGCTGATGGGCGAGGTGGCAGGTAAAACTTCGTGCAGGCATTTCGGAGGATGATATGAGAAGGGTCAGAGGAAAAAAGCATCCTAGGCAGAATGAACAGCACATGCAAACTGGGGGCGAAATGGTTCTCTCGGGGAAACTACAAGCTGTTTAGCATAATAGGAACTAGGCTAGCAACTTTCTGGTCATGTGTCTGAGCAAATTACTTGACCTTTCTGAGGCTCAGCATTCACATTTATAAGAAAAAGAGGAAAAGAAAAGCAAAGCAAAATGGTTGCAAAATTAGGCAACAGAATGCATGTAGGCAAGCACAGTGCTTGGCGTATATTAGATGCACAAGAAATCCTCTTTATTATTCACACGCTGTTGTCACACGCTTCTAATTCCTTATCTCCTCTGACCCAGGTGGCTTGCTTCCCTTTCTCACTCATTCCTGGGCCTAGTAGTGAGCACTGCCCCCCCCACACACACACACACACCGACTCCCACAGACTTTACCTCGGGCGAGAAACCCGAGCCCACTGCCTGGCCCAAGACAGCTCCTAGGGCTGGGTGGTTTGTGTTATTCCTTCTCTTCTCTCTCCCTTTTTTCCTCTAAATGCAACAAAATAAAACCAAACAAAAAGCCCGATGCCTGGCGTGGCTTGTTGGGGAGTTATGCAAGTGTGTAAAAAAATAAAATAAAATAAACATTGAGTTTTCAGCATTTGTGGCTGTTTGATTAGGCACGGAGCGGAGCCAAGGGCCGGTGAGACATAGGGAAGGCTCGGGGCAGAGGGGAGAAGGGAGGAGCTGCCGAGGGGGCTGGAGGGGGCCCAGGACCAACTCGGAAGTGGCTGTTTGCCTCCTGCAGCCCTGGCAATGCTCCGGCTGACTGAGCCCAGGCAGAGGGCATTCGGGACCCAACTGCTCCACTTTCTCTGGCCATCCACCATCCCTGTTCCCTGGCCATCAGGACTCACCAGGGGTCACTCCACCCATTCCCCAGTTGTGGCAAAAGACTGTGTGCTCTTTTCTCCATAGTCAGGGCTGCCCCCTCCTCTCCCGAGCAGGAGATTGATTCCACAGCCTGTCTTCATTACCCACCCCCACCCCCAGCCCCAATCAGTGCAGTTTTTCAACGCTCTAACTTAACCCCTGTTAACGACGGTCTGTGCCCTTGTTCCTACACGCCGTCTAAAATTAAGCCGGAGAACGGCTGGGTGTCACTGGCAGGGTGAGTCTTTCTGCCTCCCTTCCTCAGGCTGGACTCCGACATCATCTGGGGGTCACTGCAGGTGTCTGTGGCCCCTTGGGACGCATTCCACGAACATTTGTAGAGCCCCTACCCTTTACCAGACGGTCGAATCCTTTATTTCATTGAACCCTCAGAACAGATGACAGCCCTGAGGCTCAGAGAGGTTGAGTAACTTCAGCCCCACCACACAGCTGCTAAGTGATGAAACAGGGATTTGAATCTAGGTTTTATTCCAAAGTCTCCCTCACTCTCCTACACCAGTTTCGTGTGGAAATGCCCTCACCTGGGTCCCAGGGTCGTGCAGCCTCTTGTTTTCTCTGAACTGGGAAGATGCTCTGGAGACTCGACCTGGAGACGAGGAGGGCGTGGCCGGGACGACAGACCCTGTTGAGCTTGTTCCACGTCACTTTCCTGATCTCGATAGGGAAACTGAGGTTTCGAAAGACTGTTCGGCCCTGTTCCGACCCCGGGGTGCCTGGACCTGCAGCCCGGGCTCTGGCGCGTGAAACCCGCGGGTTGCCGGCGGGGAGGGGCGGAGCGAGAGCGGAGGGTCTGCGCCAGCGTCCGGAGCACGCGTGCGGCTGCCAGCCCTGCGCTCGGAGCGCTGCGCCCTGGCTGCGGGCAAAGGGTGGGCGGGAGGGGGCTACGGACTCCCGGGCCTGGCGCTCCAGTCCGTTTTTTGCTGCGGATCCCGGGAAGGGGGGCCGGCCCGGGGGTGGGACTGCAAAGGGGGGGATTCCCTCCCTCGTGCGAGCGGAGGACTGGCCCTTCTCCGGGCTGGGAGCTACCGCCGAACGGAGGCGCGACGGGGAGCACGAGCGCCGGGCGGAGAGCGAGGAGCGGACGGCCGAGCGGGGCACCGGGGAGAGCGAGGGCCGGCCCGAGCCGCCCCAGAGGACCGATGTGCCGGGTGGGGCTCTGGCCCCGGAGGGCGTGAGCCGCTGGCAGATTGAGCAACTTGGGAACCAGCGGGCGGAGCGCGGGAGAGCCCAGCGCCCAGGACAATCCTGCGGCGGGCGGGTGAGCGGCCGCTCCCTCGCCCGTCCCGGGTCTGCCCCCGCCGCGGCTGGCAGAGCGGAGGTGAGTCCCCCCGCCCCCCTTAGGTGCCCTTCCCTCCTCCCTGGCGCCCCCTTCCCCAGGACCTGGGGCGCTGCGGGCCCTTGCGTCGGGGCTCGGCCGGGCTGAGTTGCGGGGGGCAGACAGCGAGAGGAGGACTCTGACCGCTCGGGCCGGAGAGGGCGCCTCTTGGAGCCCCTCCCGCAAGCCCCGCTGCCCCTAGCCCGCGTCATCCCTCAAGCCAGGGGGCAGCCCCCTCCCGGCTGCTGCCTCGGGTTCCCCTCAACCCCGCAAACCCACTGATGGTCTTCACTCGCAGTTCTGAACGCCCCGAGTCCGCCACCCCGTTCAACACCACCCTCATCCGGAGCCTCCGATTCCTGGTCTCGTCACCTCGGGTTCCCCCGAGTCCCACGGCCCCGGGTTACCCGCACCCCAGTCCCGCGGCTCGGGCAGGGTCCGACGTGGCAGGCGGCGTGCGGGGCGGCCCCTTCCACCAGCGGTGGGGCGGCTCAGTGGCCCGCAGGGGCGAGCGCCAGCGCTCGGATGGCGTTGCTTGGTGGGGAGAGGTGGGGGCTGTTCGCTCTCGGCTCCCAGGAGGGCAAGGGCGGATCCTGGGGCGCGCACTTGGGTGCAGGAGTTTTCTTATGAAATCAGTCTCTGGACTTGGGGAGCACGCTTGGATTTGGGGGGGCAGTCAGGGGGACTTCGGGTCCACCGCCCCTCTCCCTGCACCTGCCAGGCGTCTCCTGGATGGTGGGAGGGAAGAATTTACACGCTCGGAGCAGCGATGGAGGGATGAGAAGCAGCTTTCCCCTCTGCCCCTCAGTTTTGGGGGACGAGCTGGGGTGGGGGCGGGGGAGGGGGAGCAGAGCCTGACCCAGCTCTGGGGACACTCTAATCCCGACAGGTCGGACAGGCGCGTCCTTGGTCCCTCCCCTCCGCCCAGCAGTTCCTCTGTCCCCGCCTGGGCAGCCCACTCTGCAGCCAAAGCTCCCCACCCCCCAGCGAGTCTTGGGGAGGGCTAATGAGAAATGATGTGGATGGTTTACATTTTTGGGTCTGTGTCCCGCCCCAGACAGAATACCAATTTATCCTGATAGCGTTGCAGGCAAGAAGGTGAAAGGTATTCCAGCCCTCTAGGGGGACTGAGTCCCCGCCTCCACTCCGCCTCCAGCTGTGTCCCCCTCCCTAGCTCTGGTCCTGCCCCTTCCCAGGCCACCTAGCACGTGAGTCCTGTCTCCTCAGTCGCCGTCCTGGGTCAGCCTCTGTCTCCAGACCCTTCCTCCCCTCCCTGAGTCTAGTCCCCAAACCAGGGCGTGCCCACCCCCACCCACAGCTCCTCGTCCCTTGCCCCTCCCCCAGATCCCTGGTTGGGGGGGGGGGGAGAATCACTGAAGAAGTGGTCTGTAACCACAAGACCCGTAACCTCTCAGTGCCAGTGACATGGGGAGAACTTCACTTTCCTCCCTGAGGAGTGAATGAGGGCCCAGCACGAAGCAGGCGGTGCAGGTTCATGGTGAAGGCGAACCCCTCACTCCCACCCTGGCAGAGGCCGGAGGCTCTTCTTCGCCCCTGAACGCCCGAGACCTTGATCGCTGCCAGCAGTTCCCATGACTGGCTCTGCCTGTGCAGAGTAACGGGCCTCCGAACGGCGAACTGTTGGATGTGTAGGGAGCGCCGTGTAGCCCGAGGGGCGGGGGAGATCAGGCAGAGGAGCGAGTGGAAATGAGGCGGCCACTCAGAAGCAAGCCCTCCGCGCCGTCTCCTCACTCAGCTTCCTTCCTACTTGTTGCTTGTAACCCTGGCACAATGGATTCTTATGTCCTTTCCACGGTCGATGCTGTATGTATTTTTTTAAGTGCTTGAAACACTTCCCATCTAGTGATGGGTGACAGAGGCCAGTGTCACTTGCTCCAGTGAAATTCCGATCTGGAGCCTCCTCCCCGTTTCCCAGCCGAGATCCTGGAGTGATGGTGATGCAGGTGGGAACGGGCCGCGGAAGATCCTCAGTGGCCAGACCTGGGTGGGCGTGACCGGAGCTGGGCTGAAAGCTAAGATCTGGGAGGACGGGGGGCGGGGCTGGAGAATTTAGGGGAAGGCAGACGGAGGCAGAGGGAGGCAGCTAACTTTTGCTGAGCTCTACCCCTGGAGTGTCAGGCTCCACGCGGGGCAGACACGGGGGAGTGCAGAGATCCCTAGGCGTCCTTCTCTGCACTGAGGACCCCACGGGTACTAATCCCACAGGGAGACCAAAGAAAGAAAGTCTCAAAGACCCAGGATATGTTTAAAATGGATTTTTAGAGAGTGAGGAAGGGAAAGAGAGAGAAACATCCACTTGTTCCACTTATGCATGCATTCATTGATTCTTTGTTTCTGTATGTTTTTTTCAATTTTATTTGTTTATTTATTTTTAGAGAGAGGGGAAAGGAGGGAGAAAGAGAGGGAGAGAAGAAACATCAATGTGTGGTTGCCCCTCACACACCCCGCACCAGGGACCTGGCCCACAACCCAGGCATGTGCCCTGACTGGGAATAGAACTGGCGACCCTTCAGTTCACAGGCCCGTGCTCAGTCCACTGAGCCACACCAGCCAGGGCCATTGGTTGGTTCTTGTCTTCCCTGACCCGAGATGGAACCCACAACCTTGGCATATTGGGGCAGCACCCTAACCAACTGAGTTACCTGGCCAGGGCCTTGCAGATGCAGGATTTAACACCATTTAGCACCGGGTGTGTCTGCTGTGTTCTCCTCCTCCAGGGTCTGTACCCGCCTGGGGTCCTCAGACTTCAGTTTGAGAAATGCTGCAGTTAAAGGTTAACCCCTCACTACAAGTGATCACTTTGGGGCCAAGATGCTCAACGACAGGGATAGATGCAAATATGGAAATTATCTAACAGTGCTCAGTGTTAAGATATGTATCCAGAGGAGGCAAAAGCTGTGTCTGTTGCTTCTTAGATGACCACTGGAATGTAGACACAAAATGAAGACTTGGTCATAGAAAATGTAACAAATATTATCGAGTTCTCACTATGTGCCAGGCACATTCTAAGCAGTTTCGTATATCAACTCATTTAAGCCATAAAAAAGCAACCACCTTCTTGCAGATAAGGAAACTGAGGCTCAGACTAACTAAGCAACTAGCCCAAGGTAACAGCCAATGAGCAGGAGAGCCAAGATTTGAAGCCAGACAGTCTGACTCTGAAGTGTATGCCCTTGACCATCATGCTCCGTGGCCTTCCTCTGTGACGATATACTTGGGGCTGAAGACCCCACTTTGGTAAACTGAAGGTGATGGAAGTGGGCAGTGGGGGCTGGGGGGCAGGAAGGCTTTGGAAGGTCGTACGGGAGTACTGGAGGTGCAGGTGGGGGCTGGCAGCCGACAGGACATTGGGGGCTGCGGGCCACAGCAGCAGGTGGGATTCATCAGCCTTGTATAAACACTTCTCACAGGCAGCTTAACCACTTGAGTGTGTCTGGCCTTCAAAGCTGGTGGGAGAGGCTGAAGAGGGAGGTGCTAAGCTCTCCTGTGGGATAATGATTTATCTCCCGGGCAGGTGGACTCCCCTGGGGCCTTCCTGAGAGGCAAAGGGGGAGAGAATGGGGGCAGGGGCTGGGAGGGACACTCCAGCATTCAGATTCCTCATGTTTTATAAGCCGAAAATACGGCCAACTCTCAGAGCAAGCCTATGAAATAGACGTAACTATCCCCATTTTATAGATGAGGAGACTGAGGTTCAGAGAGGCCAAGTGACTTGTCCGGAGGCCTCTAATTCAGTGTTTGAGAGGGTGACTCTTCTCCGACATCCACGAAGCTTCCCGCAGGCTCCTTGTTTCCAGGAGTGTCTCCTGTCCGTGGGTGGCGTGGGCGGGTGTGCAGCCACCCCCAACCACGCGTGCAGACACTCGTGGGCCCTTGTCTGCTGTGCGTTGAAAGCGTGTGTTCCTGTGAGTGCGCAGTGGGGTTTTGTCCTCTGACTCCCAGGTTGGGCTCCAACTTCCCAGACACATTTTGCTGGGGAGGGACCAGCTCCCCCTGCCCCCAACACCAGGCCAGCGGTCGGAGACCTGGCTCTCACCGGGCTGAGGGATTATCCCCATTCTCTGTGTCTCTGCCTGGGGCTGGCGTAGCTGCCTCTTTTATCCCTTCACAAAGGCCAGGCCCGCAGGGCCTGCTGTGTCAGAGTTTCTGTGGGGGGGGCGGGGGGGGGGCTCATTTCCTTCCCTCCCGCCAAGCCTGGAGGGCTGCACAGAGACTGCCTGCTCGTCAGGGGCCGCTGTTCTGGCTCCAGACAGGTGACAGGCACAGGGGGTGACACAATGCTAGGCAAAGAAAGCTGAGGGGTCCCTCACAGGAGGACAGAGAGCTCCCCTTCAAGAGACTCGAGGTTTCTGCAACCTGAGGTCTTTAGGGCAGACCTGAAGAAAGCCTTTCGGTTAGAACTGGCCAATAATGGGCAAGGGGAGCCGGCTGGTCCCCAGTGTCCACAAGTTCAGTGCTGTGTGGGTCCGCCAGGCTCCAGCTGCTTGGGTCGCCAGCTCTCGTCCCAGGGAATTCTTCTGCAGGGTGGGAAAGGGGGCGGATTTCTCCCATCGGGTTGTTCAGATGGGCAACATCCTGAACTCTCATAGGCTCCTGGGTAGGAGGCTGCATGGGAGTGTAGGAGGCATGGGTTGTGGGCCCCTTGGTACCCCAGAATTAACCCTTCTCTCTCCTCCCCCAACAGGTTGGGTTTTGGAGGTGTCCCTGCTGAAGTGACAAGTTCTCCCGGGTGACACTCCAGGTGGCTCTGAGGAAAGCTCTCTGGACCTCCCCACGGGCTGATGGAGAAGGGGGCTCCCCACACCCTTCTCTGCTCCCCGCTGAGATCATGGTGGATTTGGGGCACAGCCTGGGCCTGGGCCTCCTGCTGCTGACCCGGCCTTGGGGGCGTTAACAAGAGCCCTGCGCCATCCATAGCCCCAGAGACCCCCCTCCTACCAGGGGCCCCGAGCTGGCGAGTGACTATGCGGCTTGGGCTGTGCGTGGTGGCCCTGGTTCTGAGCTGGATGCACCTCACTGCTGGGAGCCGGGGGACCAAGGGGAAGAGACAGAGGCGGAGTGAGTAATGGGCGCGGCCGACCGTGGAGGGCCCTGGAGCCGTGGGCGAGGTGGGGGGGGCACTGGGGGACCCTAGGGCTTTTGGTGGCTTCATTCTGTGGTGACCATGGCCGATTTCTACTTGTGTAGATTACTCAGTAGATGATCCTGCGTGTAGATTATCCAGTTTGTGGATTAGTTTGTTGAGACTGCCCACTCTGTAGATTACTCACTTGGTCTATTTTCCCCTTGGTAGACTCTGCTTTCTAGACTCTGCTTTCTTGACCCTTCTCTTGTGAGGATCCAGTGTGTGGATTACGCCCTTTGACGTAACACCAGCTGTGTGTGGTATCCATGGAAATGATCCCTGGGCCCCGACTCCTGGGTGCTTGGTTCCCCCGCCCTGACATTTCAGCGCCCTTTCTTTCAGTGGTGGCTGAAGTGTAGCCCCTCAACCCTTTGGGTCAGGAACTCTGCCCAGCTGGGTGGTGGGCCACAGCTTTCCCCGCCCAGATCAAGGGCAGGCACGGTGGCGCTGGAAGATCATGAGCCTCTCCACTCCTGTGGCCTTTAACCCTGCCCAGTGGGAGTCAAGGAGTTGCCCTGGGGGGTGAAGGGGAGGCAGGGGGGCAGGCGTTAGGTGCCGTCCCCCTTCCAGTCAGGGCGACTTCGCTCCTTCTGACTTTCTGTTAGATCCCGCATAAGATATCACTGGCAGAAAGCGTTCTCGGAGCTGAAAAGAAAATAAATGCATCATTGTATAGATGGGGAAACTGAGGCTACAATAGGGGAGGAGACAACAGGCCTAAGGACACACAGTCAGCATTGGAACCCAGGTCTCTGCTTCCCGTGAGCCGAGTCTTCTGGAAAACAGAGCTCGATGGAGTTCAACCTGAACCTGTCCCCACTGCCCTCGCTGTCCCTCACAGAGCCCTGTTCTAGGCGCTCCCATCCTCTAGCCTCTGCTCAGTGTCTCCAGCGATGGGGGTTCCCTACCTGCCCGTTACGTTGTGGGAGTGGCCCCCGCACGTGAGAGGCCAGGGTCAGGAGTGCGATGGAGCCTGTGTCACAGACCTGGGGCTCAAGCCCGGGCCTGTCTTTCAACAGCCCCCATCAGAGACACCCCGCCCATGGGCAGGCAGGCCCTCTGACCCCTGGCCCGGCCGCCCTTCCTGCTTCCCTTTTGAGTCTGGCAGACACTGAGGCTGCCAGTAAAGGTTGGAAGGCAGCGGAGTTTGGTTGGGTCTCCACAGGAGTGGCCAAGGGCAGAGCCCAGTCCAGGGACAGAAGCGCAGAGAACTGGTGAAGCTGAAAATCCCTGGCTTAACAGACGATTAGAGACGGTTTAGGTTCAATCAGCAGTGAGGCTTCATTTCTCCGCCCGCCGCCTCTGTCACAGCCAGTGTTTTGGACTCCGAGGGCCAGAGGCAGTTCAGCGGTTCCCGGTGTCTCCTCTGTTTCCGATGCGAGAAAGTGTCTGAGTGCAGCCACTCGTGCTCGTGCGACGTGCGCTGGTGACCACGGGGTCCCCGACCTGGGCAGAGCCGCACACCCACCTAAACCAGGGGGCAGAAGACCTGTTGTTGTTCTAAACTTTGTACTAAAAAAAAAGTACTGGCCTGGCCATCAGAAAGGGCCTGGCCCAGCCATGACCAATTGAAAACAGCAACTGTGACACTTTCCACACAGCCGTATCCCACAGCCTGCGCAGCAGGAGCCTGGCTTTGATTACCAAGTGGTGTGAGGGACAGACACTCTTGGTGGTGAGATTCGAGGACGGGATAAGGTGAGGGGGAAGGCTTGGGGCCAGGGAGGGTCCAAGAGGGATGCGTGCTCAGAGGGGGACAGGGTGTTGCTAGGCAGCAGTGCTAAGAGAACACCTGTAGGCCTGCAAGCGGCGCGGTGGAGGAATGTAGTGCGGCTTGCGTGAGACGATGTGTTACATGGAGCGAAACCTGTGTGCAACACCAAGCTTCGTATTGACTCCAGGAGGCATGTTGTCATATAAGCAATGCGTGGACCATTTTGCCCTGGGGTCCCCAGGGAAGTGGGGGCAGGGGGGAGAAAGAGGAGCCAGACATCTGCGTGTGGGTGCTGCCACCACCCACATGGAGGGACGCTGGGCGGACTGTGGGGCAGCAAGAGGCTTGCTGTGCCTATGAGTGAGCCTCAGGTCTGTGGACTGTGTCCCACACCCTGCAACCATGTGACGGTGGAGCCACCAAATGCCACCTGATGCAGCTCTGGTCTGGAGCCACACACTGGTTTTAAGCCCCGAAATGGCTGATTTGGGGCATGAGCGATGGTCTCCCTGCAGGGAGGGGCAGACGTCGAGCGAGGAATTCTCCAGCTGTGAGTTAGAAGCCCCGGCCTGGCGTCCTTCCGCTCTTCCGCTCACTGAGGACGCGTCCCAGCCCTGAGCCTCCTGCTCACTCACCTTCACTCTGTCCTGACCCCCTTCCCACCTGGATGTCCTGCTCGTCACCGGGCCCTTATTCCCTTACCATCCCACACATCGAGGGCCCCCTCCCCTTGCTGAGACTCTTCCCCTATCAGATTCCTGGGCCTCTTCACTCAGTTCTGTCCCCATGAAGCCCCATTCCTTTCCTGACCGCTCCAGAGGGTCCCCCTTTCGTCCTTTCCCCCCGCCCCACTCCCATCTGGAGCTTTTGGCCCGTCCCGCCCTGGCCATGTGTAGAGTTCTTCTCCCCCCACTGAAGGCCCATTCACTCCTGGGGTCATTTCACAAACGTCCCTGTGGAACCTGCAGAGCCTGGCTCTGGGTCACAGAAACGAACCTTAGGAAGTGTCTAGAGGAGGTGAAGGGCGACTTCAGTCTCGTCTCTCGATGCTACAATAGAATGAAAGGGGGGCAGGGAGGGTCCAGAGCCAGCACCTCCTGAGCTGTGATTTTAGGGATCAGTCGGTGACCGCTGGCAAGGGAGTGGGGACTGGGTGAGGGTGAGCCAGCACGGCCACAGGTGTGGAGTTCGGAGAGGAAGAGAGGGTTTGCTCTGGAAGTGGGGGGCAGCGAGGACTCGTAGATAGAGAAACGGTTTCTGAGAGGAGATCTGGGGAGCCCTAGGGTTTCAACGGGGGCAGCTGTGCTCGTATCTGTCTCACACACAGAGGATCTTCTCTATTAAAAACGAGGGTGTGGTGTTGAAACAAACAGCCCAACGCCCCTCAGGACCGAGCACGGAGGCCGAGGGAGAGTCTGGGGAGATGACGCTTCAGGGGCGGGCGGAGGTCAGGCGGTGGAGCGATTGGTACTCACCCACCGAGGAGTCTGCCCTTGACCTGACTTGAGCTGTGGGTAGCGAGGAGCCACTGAGGGGCTTTAATCAGAGGAGCAGCAGGTGCAGCTGCAGGACAGGGCGAGGGGCTGTGGCTGGAGGTGGGAGGCAAACAGGTCAGTTCAAACGTACCTGGGCCCAGGTGAGAAGAAGTGGTCTAAACGAAGCTCCCAGTTGAGTTAAAGGATGCTCATCTTCCCAGGGAGGCATGCCGGATGACCTTGGGCTCCAGGGATAGACGTGTCTCCTGGGAGAGTGTGAGGGCTGAGAAGGGCCCTTGCCTACCCGCTCACTGAAGCCCCTGTTCCCTGTCACCTCCTACCCCCACCAACTTCACTCAGGTCTCTTACTGAACCGATATCCAAGGTCATTCCTCCTCTGGGTCGCTGCGAGTTCCTCTCCACCCCTCACTGACCTTCATCCAAGCCACCCCGAGCCCTCATTCCCATCCAGTTCCTCCCCCCACACTCTGTCAAACACTCGGTGTGCGACATTCATGTCCCCGCCTCCCTGAGCCTCTGTCCCACTCGCCACATCCTCAGACCTAAATGCGGGGGACCCTCATCCTCTCACTGAGCTCCCATTCAGAAGTAAGACAGGTTCCGCCCTCCGAAGCTCTTTCGAGTGGGAAAAAAGACATTCAGAAATGATAGCAACACATGGTGACGTCTACTACAATGGATGCAAGTATTTGGGATGTGGGGACAGAGTGAAATATTCCATCCGGTTTGCAGGGGGCGATATCAGGAGAGACCTCCTGGGGGAGGTGACTTTAGTTTTGAGGCTTGAAGGAGTCAGGCTCTGGAGGAGGCACAGCGTGTCCCAGGCAGAAGGACCAACTTGCACACAGGCAAGAGGTGTAAAGTAGTGTGATGTGCCCAGAGAAACGAAAATAGTTCCATATTGCTTAGGGATAGTGTTGAGAGCTGAGGCAGGTGGGATCAGCTCCAGGAAGCTTTTTAGGAGAGGTGGGGGCGCTGAGTCTCAGTTCTGCAGGCATAGGAAGCTGTTGAGGGGTGAGACACCCCCAGTTGTGGTTTTAGAAAGATGGATGACTGGGGGAACACATGCCATTCTTCGGGGAGGCGGCAGGGGAGCTGATTATAGGGACATCAACTTGAAGGGTTTCGGGCAAAGGTGAAGGAGGAGAAGCAGCAGAGAAATGGAGGAGGGCGCAGCCTTGCCTCCCTGACTCAGTGAGCGCTCGGGAGCAGCGTGGGAAGGGGCGTGGTGGGAAGAGCAGAGCCGTGTCGGGGGGCCTTGTGAAGAAGTTGGAAGGAAGGTGCTGCCTCCCCTCTGAGCCCCCCTCCACTGAGCCCACCCAGCCTCTTTGGGCAGGCTGCTGCCCCGCCGGGCTGCTCCTCTCCCTCCCACCCCCTCACAGGCACAGGAGCTGGAGGGAGCCTGTCCCAGGGACTCCGACCATGCCCTTCTGTGGACCCTGTCCTTGCCAATAGAATAAAGCCCTCTTTCAATCCTGTGAACACTCTAGGACGGTCAGTGCCTCGGAGCCTTTGCACGGGCCCTTCCTCCCGCCTGGCACACCCTCTTCACCTAACCGGCTGGGGAAGGGAGTGCCCTCCATTGCTCCTCCTTTCACCACAGTGCACAGCCAACCCTGTTTCCCACATTCCTGGGTGGGTTTTTGTTGCTACACCTCCACACTCCCGGCTCCTAGCAGCTCTGGGCATGTGTTAGGTGTGCAATAAAAGGCTACAGAATGAATGGGCTTTGGCTTTTCCCTTTGCATCATTATGCAACACCCCCAACACACGCAGAGCCCTGCATCCCCTGGCTCTCTGCCCCCTCCCTGCCCACTCTTGCCTGGCTAGGCTGAGGACACCTTTTGGTTCCTACCCCCTTGATGAGCATCTTTTTCCTCATTCAGCTGACCCCTGCCTGTCAATGAACCCCTCAACTCCTTGTTGAGCCCCAAACCTCATGGAGCTCAACTCTCTCATCCCTTGTCCCTCACCCTGGCCTTAAGCCTCAAGGCCAATTTTTCCACCCGAGCTCTATAACTTGACCCTCCCTTGTCCTTGGGCCTTCAGCCTGCCTCTGTGTCTTGAGATCACAGCGCCACTCCCAGCTGGTCTCTTCCCCCTCCCTCTCTATGTTCTCTGACTGCCCGCCCCTCTCCTGGCTTGGCACCCCGCTCCAGCCCTTCCACTCACTCTTCGTCCCACTGTGGTTTGGCTCTCCTCCCCACCACGCCACCAAAGCTTCCCTTCTCAAGGCCACCTCCTGATGCAAAGCTCCTTAGATTCCCCCGAGAGCTCACCGACCATGGCCTCCTCCCAGCCCAGGTCCCTGCCCTCTCTCCCTTTTCAATTCGGCTTCCAGCCCCCCTCGCTCTCAGTCTCCTCCCACCGCTCCAGTGACTCCGATCCAGTTTCTCTCTGCGCCCCTCTTCCTCTGCTTGCCCGCTGACCGCGAGCACTGCCCAGGCCTTGCCCTTGGCCATCTTTTCCAGCTGCACAGCCCCTGCCCCCGGATGTCTTCCACTCCCAGGCTTTGACCCCAGTGATGGATCCCGAGTTCCTTCCCTGTCCCCAGCCAGCTTCTCGAAATAAGGTGGCTCTCCTTCCCCACCTTCCTCAGCCACAGCCCCCTGCTCTCCATCCCCGCCCGAGGCAACAGCAGCCTGTTTGTTACTGTTCTCTACGTGACACCTCGGCAGTTTTGGGCGTGTGATGCCTCCCTCCTCTGTGGAATGTGCTCTTCTCTTGGCTTCCATGATGCGACATGCTTTGAAGTGCCCCTACCTGCCCGGTTGCCCCTTGTTGGCCTCTAAGCTACCCCTTACTTTCCTGTCCTTCTCTTAAATGTCCTTCTCTCCTCCTCGCTGCCCGTACCCACTCTCCTTGCCACCCTGCGGACCTCCGTGCCTTCGATGACTCTTCACAGTTGAAGGACTCCATGGCTCGATCTCCAGCCAAAGTGTTTCCCTTGAGAAACCAGAGCACAGGTTCAAGCGCCTCTGGGTCTCCCAAAGGAACCACAACATCAGGGGGGGTTGTGGTCCCGTCTGAACTCTGCTCCTCATCGTTTCCTCCCCCAGACCTGCTCTTCCTCCTGTGGTCCCTCCCTTGGTGAAGACCCGACAGCTACCTCGTCACCCAAGCCCGACACCTCCAAGTCACCCTCAGCTTGTGCTGCCCCCGACACCTCCCAATCTCATTGATTCTACCACCTGAATACTTAACGTGTGCCTCCTCCCTTCCATCCTCTTGGTTCAGCTCCATGCCTTTGGACCGGGGAGTCAGTCTTCCAACCTCCGGTTTTGCCCTCCTACAACCCTCCCTGCACACTACAGAGTCATCTTTCTGAAACGGAACCCAGATCATGTCCCTTTCCTGAAAGCCCACAGTGATTCCTCATTGCCTTTCAGATCCTCGCGTGGGCACTTTTTCTTGCCGTGTCACTGATCGGTCTGAAGGTTCACTCAGGGGACCCATTGTTGTTGGAATGGGAGGTGGGCAGCGGGGTTCTGAGCGGGCCTTCTGCAAACCCATTCTTCACAACACTGGTAAGGAAGGGGTGAGCGAGTGCGGAGACCTGGCCGTAGAGGCTGCACGTGAGACCCCTGAATGACTTCAGGTATTGAAACCAAGGCAGAACCCTAGAGGGAGCAGTCATTTCAACAATGAATTAAATAAAAACCTTGAGTAGTTGAGGATTTAATGTATTTGAGGTAGAAATGGTACCGAATGTCTCTGGTGGTGTAATTAATTTGTAATATAGCTGAATAAAGGCCCAAAGTGGAAAAGGAACCCTGAGGGCTCTCTCATGAATCCAGTACAGCATTCGAAGTATTTTCGCTCTCATAATAACTAAACCAACAAGAACAATAGTAGCCTTGTTAATTTTTTGATTAAGTAAAAAGCACGGACTCGATACAGGTACATTTAAAAACCAGCCCAGTCACACTTTCAGTCTCCGCGTCGCCTCGTGTTGTCCCCCACTGGCCTCCGCAGACTCCCCGCCCTCTGCCTGGAGCTTGTGCTGGCTGTGAAGCCTTGTTCAAGCGACGCAACTCCTTCATTTCCTCAGCAGTGAAAACGAGGATTTGAAAGAAAATCACAGTGCCCACCTCATGGGTTGTAGGGATTAAAGAGTTAAGGCTCCTGAAGCCGCCGAACGTCAACCTTCTGTGTGACGTGCGGCCGTTACGATGATTACGGGTATTGTTGTTGTGGTTATCGTTGTGTTCGTTCTTCTCCTCTTCCTCCTAAGTCTTCCTCCTCTCCTGTTGTGATATCGGGACTCATCCCTGGAGCAGAGGCTGCTCCTCATGGCCCTCCCAAGGGGGTCTCCGCGTGTCCCTTTTTCTGGAGTGGGAAGCCAGGCACCCCAGTTGCAGGGTGACAGTCTGGGGGATGGTGGGCTCCAGGTCCAGCCGACTCCGAAGCCTGAGTTCTGGGGCTGCAGGACCTCCTGCCGTCTCCGTTCTCCGTCACCCAGCTCTCAGTCTGCAGCCTGCACCCGCAGCTCCTCGCCACCTGGCTCCTCCTCAGTGACTCATAACTACTCTCCTTCCTTCCCCACGTGCTCCGCTTCCCGTGGGCCTCCTGTAGGGACTGGCCCCGCGGGGCCTGGGCACCTCGGGCCCGAATACTGGGACTCTTCCCAGACTCTTCCTCCTCCTCCTGTTGGTCGCTGGGGCCTGCTGACTGTGCTGCCTCAGCATCTCTGAACCAAATTTCAGTTAAGACTCTCATCCTTCTCACCTGGATGATCCGGTCAGCTTCTTCCCAAGTGGCCCTTCCGTCTCCGGTCTTCACCCAGGCTGCCATTCAGAGCAGGTCTTGCTCCCGCTTAAAATTTGCCATTGGCTCTGTATTGTCTAATGAGCTCTGAGAAAGGTCCCCCCCCCCAAACCTCTGCAAAATGTCTGGGAAACGCAGCACTCTCTCTCCCCTTCTTGCTATAGAGAATCTCGTTTAGACTTGTTGGACCCAGGGGTTCTTGGTCTTACCTGACACGGTGGCCCCTGTGAACATTTCAGGGAATCACGTCCCGAGGAATGCTCTTTGGGAAACGCTGCCTGGCAGGATCAAGTGCAAGTTCCTTAGCATGACATGAAAGGCCCTTACAGTGGGACTCCTTGTCTTTTACCATTCCCCGCCCCACTCCTCTGCACCCGCAATCACCTGCTATTCCTCTCGGGTTTTTATACCTCTGCAGTGCTGCTCCCAGAGAGCCCTTGTCTCTACTTTCTAGTGGACAAATCTACTCATTCCTCAAGAGTTGGCTCCAATGGCACCTCCTGTGTTGCTTCCTCCCTCTCTTCTTTTTGGGTCCACTGCTTCTTGGTCTTGGGGCTGTCACCGTGTGGCTGTCAGCATTTGCCTGCTGGCGGGGCTGTCTGCACCCCCGAAAGATGGCTGCAGGCTAAGGTGTCTCTGCCTCCAGGTCCCCTGCCCTCACGCTGCACGTGGCACCGGGAGGGGCTTGGCGAGCGCTGGTTGAACACGTGGATGAGGAAACTCGGTCGGAGGTCTGCAGTGGGCTGGTGATCACACTGCCGCAAAGGACGGTTCCAGGCCGGGGTCGCTCAGCCCCAGCACCGCTGCCATACGAACCAGATCATTTGTTGTAGGGGCCGCCCCCGGCGCTGTGGGCTGTTTAGCGGCAGCTCTGGCCTCTCTCCCGTAGGTGCCAGCAGCAACCCCCTTCTCCAGTGTTACAATAAACTTGTCTCCAGGCATCGCCAAATGTCCCCTGGGGAGCACTGTCGCCTCTGGTTGAAACCACTGTTCTAGACACAGACATTCCCGTTGTCTTCTTGTCTCTGGGCAGGTGATGTTTTTCTCTGGCAGTTGTAACCCATCATCCTTCTTGTCCTTAAAACTTTTTCAAGGATAAAAAGCCCTTTTTCCTTTGGAGAGGGTAGAGGTAAGTTCGAGGAAGGTTACGGCTTCAGTGGCTTCTCTGGGACAGCGAAGCGAGCCTGGAAGGCAAGCTCATGTCATGCCCGGAGCAGTGGAGGCGCTTCCTCCAGATCTGAGCTCTTGCTCCAGGCATCTGTGCTCGTTCCCCTGAGAGAGGACCCCAGGGAGGTGTATAAAGCAGGGAGCTGCCAGCCTGGCCTGCGCTTTCTAAGAAGCACAGTCATTCTGCAGCAGGCAAGTCCTATCTGCTCATTCCACGTCCTCGTGGGAGGATGGGAAAGCCTGAGGAAAGCCTGAGGTCTCTCCCATGGCTGCCTTCTCACCCTGGTTCCATCTCTGCAGTCAGTGCCGAGGGGAGCCAGGCCTGCGCCAAAGGCTGTGAGCTCTGCTCTGAGGTCAACGGCTGCCTCAAGTGCTCGCCCAAGCTGTTCATCCTGCTGGAGAGGAACGACATCCGCCAGGTGGGCGTCTGCTTGCCGTCCTGCCCTCCTGGATACTTTGATGCCCGCAACCCCGACATGAACAAGTGCATCAGTGAGTGTGGGCGGGGCTGGAGAAGGGCTCCAGAGACCCTGGACCTGGGGGAGGGTGCTTGGAACTATTGGTGGCCAGCAGGAGGTGTAGGGGGACTCCAAGAAGGGGAGATCCAGTTGTTGCTGCCCAGACAACCCCATCTGCAGTTCCATCTCTGTGTGTCGGTATCAGAACTGCATCTCCTCCCACCAGGCCTGCACCCAACCTTTATCCCCGCAGGTCAGTCTGTGCCCCAAGCCACAGACCTCAGAGCCGGCCCCTCGTTGGTGCTATACCCATCCACCCAATAACTAAAGCATGCCTGCACCATCTCCTTTCTGCCCTCTCTGCCATCGTTGTACCCGGGCCTCCCTGCTACCTCCCCTGGACAATTGCAATAGCCTGTCGATCTGCCCTCTGACCCTCCTCTGGTCCCCTTCAACTCGCCCTCCACACCACAGCCAGGAAGATGCTTCTGAGACACACAACTGTCCCATCACACTTCTGCTTGAAAACCACCACCGGCTCCACGGACTGCAGAGACCCGCAGGCCCAGCCGGCCCGCCCCTCCCTCTCCCCGCCTTCCTGTCTTCTCGCTCAGCTCCTTTCTCCCACACCAGCTACGTTTCCAAGGGCTTCAAGGCACGTGCTGTCACACCTCCGCCCCATCTCAGCTGAGACATGCTGGGGGACACATGGTGAACACACCCCAGTGCACAGAACCAATCTTCCCCGCTATTTGTTCAGTGCCTTGGACTCTAGAATGCATTTCCAGCTTGCATATCAGAAGAGAGACGGACCCTGAGCGAGGGTTCTCTTTTTATAGCTGCTAACAGCGAGGCTGGAAGGGGTACGACGGACCCCAACTCGGCCAACCCGGCTTGTGCTCTCAACTCAGCTACTTGTTCATTGTGTGACTTTGGGCATGTTGTAACCTTTCCAAATCTCATCTTTAAAATGGGAGTACCAGTTCTTCTTACCCCTGGGGTTTGCGTGGGAGGCATATGTAAAGCCCTTCATGTCTGGCACTCAGTAAATGGTAGGTGCTATTGTTCTTACTGTATTCCACCTGCAACCAAACCCGGGAATCAGAACGTGAGAGAAGGAGGGAGGGAGGGGAAGCTGAGATAAGCCACAGAGGCTAAGAGGGTTCAGTGGGGGTGGGAATCTTTCGAGGTTGGAGGTAGGCCCCTGGGGCTGCCCCCTTGGCCCTCAGGGTATTTGGGGTGGGGAGTTCCTGGCTGCACCAGCTCCTGGGAAACTGGCCGCCCAGGCTCCAGGTGCCAGAGGCTGGGAGGAAGTTAGCCCCGCCCACAGTCTGGGAAGGGAGAGATTGTGAAAGACCCTGCCTGCTTCTCCAGCCCTGAACTCCCCCTCCCCCCCTTTCTCCAGAGGAGGGAGAGCTGGCAGGAGGGCATGGGGAGGGACCCAGGAGTCCAACCGAGGCGATTCCTGGAACTGGCCTTGGCCTTGCAGAGAGGGAGGAATTTGCCCTGGGATTTCCTCCCCCTCCTCCGAGCTGATTCTTTCTGCCCCAGGCAGGAGGAGATCCAGGGTTTGGGTCTTGTGGATGCCCAGCAGTGAGGGAAGAGAGGACCACATAGCCATCCGTGGGCAGGGGGTCACTGTCTTCCTCAGTTCAGCTCTGGCTGGGTGGTGCTAGAGGAACCCTGCTCTCTCACCCCTGCTAACCCCAGAGGGCCCTGCCCTCCTCCTCTGAAACTGACTCTCTTGGGCCTCACTTGGGGTTCCAGGGCCCGGGATTGGGTTTGGGTTGGGATTGGCTGATCCTGGTGAGTCCCGGCCAGCCCTGAAGAATGGGCACTTCGGCCTTCTCCCCCTACCCCTGTCCTGTCCCAAGACTCCTCTCTGCAGTAATCACAGCTCTGGACGACAGTCCTGCTCTCAGTGTGGGTGGGCCTGGATGGTGGGCATCAGGATGGGGAAAGGGGAGGCGTCCACTTCCAGGCTGAGCCAGAGGCCCCCACCCTGGTGAGATTTTCTCCCCAGCAATTTATCTCAGGGAGATTTATTCTCCACAGAATGCAAGATTGAGCACTGCGAGGCCTGTTTCAGCCACAACTTCTGCACCAAGTGTCAGGAGAGCTTGTACCTGCACAAGGGCCGCTGCTACCTGACCTGTCCCGACGGCTCCACCGCGGCCAATGGCACCATGGAGTGCAGCAGCCCCCGTGAGTCACGTGGGTGCTGTGGGCAGGGGGCCCCCAGGAGGAGGGCAGGCCAGGGAGAGTGGGCTGGGGACCTGCCCAGAGAAACCTTGCCCAGACCAGCCTCCAGGGTTTCTCCCAGGGCTCGTCTGCCCTCTGGGCCTGAGCCCCAGGTAGCGAGCAGGTGGGAGGAGCGCCCCTGGGGCATTCTGGGCCGAGGAGGAGATGTGACCCTCCCCCCTTCCTTCTCTCCCTCCCTGCCAGCTCAATGTGAAATGACTGAGTGGTCCCCGTGGGGGCCCTGCACCAAGAAGAAAAAGACCTGTGGTTTCCGGAGGGGCTCTGAGGAGCGGACACGACGGGTCCTCCAGGCCCCTGGGGGTGACCATGCCGTCTGTTCCGACACCAAAGAGATCCGGAGGTGCACGGTGCGGAGGACGCCCTGTCCTGAGGGTGAGCCGCAGCCTCTGCCTCCCCGGGGCTGGGGGTCAGCCACGAGAGATCTGGCCACCTCTGCTTCCTGCCTGTGGCCCCGGAGAGGGTCTCAGGCCAGGGCTGAGTGAGGCATCCCCAAGTCAATGCCCCATGCGGTGCAAACCGGTGCCGGGTCCTGGTGGAGACCCAGAACTCTGCATGGTGGGAGCTGGAGACGTCTGGGTCCCTGTCCTTTCAGTTCCTCCATTTCTTCTGAGCCAGTGGATGTTGGCAGATGGTCAGATGAGGGCATGAAAGGGGGTGTGAAGACCAGAGAGGTGTAGTGATTTCACCAAGGTCACTCAGCTTGCCTTTGGCAATGATGTGGCAGCTGGCTGCAGAGGGTGGGTGGGGCCAAACTGCCTGTCCTAAAAACTGAACTAAATGTCTTGGCCCATTGGGACCCCAGGTCTGAGGAAGACATGAGGAAAAGAAGGGTGTGTGGTTTATCCAGAGGTAGAGGATGAAAAGGCTCTTGGGAGCCCCCATCATGGTACAGGGTCCTCTGAAGTGGCTGACGGTCAGAGGAGGCCTTCAAGGAACCCCCTCTGCCTAGAGGCAGCATTTCCAGCCCCCCCTGCCCAGCTTCCTCACCACCCTGCTCCCAGGCCCATGGCTATGCCTGGGGCCTCCCTGCTTGTGGCAAGAGGTTCTGTGTTGAATCTTCCTGCTGTTGGGTTGCAGGGCAGAAGAGGAGGAAGGGTGGCCAGGGCCGGCGGGAGAACGCCAACAGGAACGCCAGCAGGAAGGAGAGCAAGGAGGCGGGCACCGGCTCTCGGAGGCGCAAGGGAAAGCAGCAGCAGCAGCAGCAGCAGCAGCAGCAGCAACAGCAGGGGACAGCGGGGCCACTCACATCTGCAGGGCCCACCTAGGGACATTCTTCAGCCTCCAGGCCCACGCAGAGAGTGATGAAAGCTTTATCGAACTGGAGCCCGGGGTCAACCTGTACACACACTCTGCACACGCACATGGACACACGGATACACATGCAGATCCCCACATCCAAACATGCAATCAATATACATGCAAACATGTGTGCACTCATGTGTGCGTGCACACACTTGAAGCCACCAGAAAACACTTCTGTCCCCCAGACATCGCGGTACGAACAGGGCAGGAAGGTGGTGGAGTCATCGCCTCCAGGAAGAGGCCCAGCTGCACACCCTCGGCCTGCGACACCCCGCCGGGGATGCGGCCAAGGGAGCGTTTCCCAGCGTCCAGGCCCACACTTCGCAGAGTGGAGCCTTCTGGAAGAGCCGGTAGGATGAGCCCAGAGTGGCAGGCAGGACCCAAAGCGTGAGGATTGGTCCACTTTCCAGCTGTGTGACTTGATAGTTGTTACACACCCATGACCCACGCCAGGACGGCTTTGACTCTGAAAACTGCTTAAAAGTTTATTGCAAATTAAAAACAAAAACTAAATGACCACAGTAGCCCCCAGGCACCACATTCTTTTTCAGGATACAGGGATTGGTGGGGTATTCCTGGGAGTGGGAAAGGACAGGGCTGGATTTTAAGAGACCCCCGCTACTGGCCTCCCAGACAGAGCAGGAAGAAAACTTTGGGGATACTCATGGTGGAGCAACTTCTCTATCTCCCTGTCACCCGGAGTGTGGTCTGGGGCACCGCTGACATCGTCCCTGGGCAGCTTGTTAGACACGAGAATCTCAGGTCCCATCCCAGGCCTGACGAAGCAGAGCCTGCATTTTAAAAGGGTTCCAGGTGACTGGCACGCACGGTCAAGCTCGAGAAGCATTGCGCGAATTACCTTTGAGGATGAAGGGATGGATGCTGGTCAGCCGCAGGAAGACTCCCCGCCTGGGAGAGGTGGAACCTCTCTTCCGAGGGGCTGCAGTGGCAGTCCTAGAGGAAGGGAGTGCTCGGGTTCTCTGAGACAGTTGGGGACAGTGGACCCACGGGCAGAACTGTGGACCTCTCATGGCATTTAGAATGTCCACTGTCAGCCAGCCATCCATGCACCGAGCTCTGGACTAAGTATTAGGTCTCTGGAGGGGAACCAGACATGGCCTTGGGCTCGTGGAGCTTAGAGGCTGGTGGGGGTTGTAGGCGAGAATCCAGCACGCATCTGAGTACATGTATAATTCCAAGTGGGCGGAGTTAAGGACAGACATCTGCATATCTGTGCAGGTGAATAAAAGGGAATGAATGTAAAAGGCTTTATCTCAGGGAGATTTATCACCTGCTTTTCAGAGCAGGTGATGTTTGAGCCAAGCTCCGGACGAGCAGCAGGAGTGAAGAGAAAGAGAAGGACTGGAATTCTAGACCAATGCCGTCCAATAGAAATACAATGCGAACCAATGATGTGATTTAAATTTTTCTAGTAGCCACGTTTAAAGAGTAAAGGGACACCAGTGGAATTAATTTTGATTATATCTTCTATTCAGCGAAATATATGCAAAATGTTACCTTTTCCACATGTACTCAATATGAAAGATTATTAATGAGATCTTTTACGTTTTTTCAAACTAAGCCTTCGACATGTAAAGCAATTTTATAGTATATCTTATTTTAGACACTGACTTTTCACCAGAAAGTGTTGAGCTATATTTATACTTGATCTTAGCCAAAAGGCCGAGAAGAGAGAGTTGAGCCACATTTAGATTTCATAAAAATTAAAGTTGAAAAGTAGATTTCCTTACTCAAGTTCTTTCAAGAATAGTTAAGTCTGCCAATATTGAATCGAATGTTTTTACATTTTAAATTTAGTTAATTAAAATGAAATAACATTAACGATTCAGTTTTTCAGTTGCACTGGCCACGCTTCAAGCGCTCACCAGGCAGGTGCGGCTGGTGACTGCTCCTGTGTCGGACGGCACAGCTCCACATGGAGGGAGTAGCACAGGCGGCTGTCCCGTGGTGGCTGGCGCTTGTTGTTCGAGGTACTGAAAGAAGGCCACTATGGCTAGAAGGCCTGGGGCCAGTGAGGTGAGATCACCTCAGAAAGGCCACCTGGAGCTGGGTCTGTATTCTCAGAGCCAGGGGAAGCGGCGGAAGGGTTTTTAGTTGCAGGCCAGCATCACCGGATTTGTACCTTGCCAAGGTCATGTTGGCTGTGGTATGGGAGACAGACGGGAGGGAAGCTGCTTAGGAAGCTGTTCTGTGATGTAGGTGACAAGAGTTGAAGGCCCGGACTAGGGTGTGGTGATGGAACTGGAGAGAAGCAGACAAAGTCAAAAGGTATTTGGAGGATAAAGTTGGCACAGTTTGGTGATAAACTGGATAGGGAAGAAGGGAGAGAGGGAAAGGGAGGTGTCAAGGACAAAGGCCCCCGTGTCTGGCTCCAGCACCAGACGGTGGTGCTGTGCTCTGCAACGGGGAACCCATGCAGAAGAGCGCATTGGGAGGAGAAGGGAGAACATCACTTCGATTTTGACCCTTTGAGTTTGAAGTGCCTCTGAGACAACCCGGTGAGTTGCCATTCTGTCCACACAATACAGGCCCGCAGTGCACAGGGGGACGTCTGAGCTGGAATATAAATGGAGGAAGATTCGAAGGCCATCGAGGCTGTGGGTCTGGAAGAGGTTGCCTAAAAGAGTAGTTCAGGACTCAGGTCTGCGGCCCTGCAAGTACAAAGGTCAGATCACGGAGGATCAGTCGGCCAGGGAGTCAGAGAAGGAGCAGGCGAGAGGGAAACCAGGGCAGTGCCGAGTCCCAGAAGCCAGCAGGCCAGGCCGGAGGGGAGATGGAGAGGCCCAAAGGCTGCCGAGACACCAGGTGAATGAGGACCGGAAACTGACCACCGGACTTCAACCTGTGTGCCTGCAGTGGCCTTAGCAAGAGCCGTTGGGGAAATTGATAGAGGTCGAAATCAGTGCAATTTCTCCAGGAAGTTTAGCTGAGAAAAGAAGAGGAATAAGTCAGGGGCTAGAAAGAGATACGGGGTCGAGGGCGCATCCTTTTCTTGTTTGTTTTTATTCTTTTGAGGTTGGAATGACTTAAAAATGTTAAAAACCTACTGGGAAGAGTCCAGTTAAAGGGAATGAATACAAAGGAGAACGAAGAGGGGTGTCGGTAGTGGAAGGATGGGGGGGGGGACAGTTGTACAGGAGCAAGGAGAGGGTGGTAGAGGGTGGGAAGGCCAGGAGTCTGGAAGGTGGGGCATCTCGGGGATGCCCCCCTTACACTCGCTGAGCCCACACCTGGGAGCCCCTTCACTGCAGCTCGGGGGCTGGGTGGTCAGGGCTGCCCGGGGCCGGCCCTGCCTCTCCCCCAGCTCCTCACCTGGCCTCCTTTCCCCGGCCGCCATTCTGGCTTGGCCGGCCTCTCTGGCCCTCTCAGTCTCCCATCTCCGGTTTCGGTCTCTCTGCCTTGCCCCTCTCCGTGTCTCTGATGCTGTCCCCTCCCCCGTCTCTCTTTTCATCTCCCTGTCTTCCTCTGTTTCTGTGTGTGCGCGTGCCATTGTTTTTCTCTGTTTTCCTGCCTCTCTTCCAGGCATCCATCCTCGATCCCTGTGTGTCTTGGTTGTCTCTGGCTCTGATTTGTCCCAGGCTCCCAGATCCTCAGGTCGTCGATACGCAAAATATGGCCTCGGATCAGCAACCTCGGTCTCATCCGGGAGCATTGTTAGAAATGCAGAATCTGCTCTGGCTGGTGTAGCTCAGTGGATTGAGCACAGGCCTGCGAACCAAAATATCGCAGTTCGATTCCCAGTCAGGGCACATGCCTGGGTTGCAGGCCAGTTCCCAGCAGGGGACCCATGAGAGGCAACCATACATTGATATTCTCTCCCTCTCTCCTTCCCTTCCCCTCTAAAGATAAGTAAATAAAATCTTTAAAAAATGCAGAATCTCAGGCCCCTCCCAGACCTAAAGGATCTGAGCCTGCTCCATAACAGATGACCCCCCCAGTAATTCATGCACATGTTAAACATTCCAGGAGTGTTGCCTTTAGCTTTCCTCTAAAACAACATCCAAATAAAAATCCAGAGTTTCAGCAACACAGGCTGACCTAGATCTTCCTGCATCTTCTGCACCAGCTTGGTGGTGCTCCGAGGCACTCAACTTCTCCGCCTCACCTCCCTGAGCGTCCTAAAGCTGCTCCTGCAGCTCTGGGCAGCGAGGGGAGGGGACAGAACCTCCCGCGTCTGCAGGGTGCTGGTGGGAGGGAACTCTCCTGAGTCTGATACACTGGGGGCTCCCAGGTGCAATCCGTCCCTGAAAACTAGCCCCACCTGGGCCTACTTCTGTCTGTCTCACTCTGCCCTTTCTGGAGTAAGACTCTTGTGCCCTGGCTGGTCGACTCCGTGGCTTGAGCAGCAGCCTTGGAACCAGAACACTGCAGGTTCGTAGTCCCGGCCAGGGCACGTGGCTGGTTCGTGGACCAGGTCCCCAGTCAACGGATGGATGTTTCTCTCCTTCTCTTTCTCCCTCCCTTCCCCTCTCCCTGAAAAGAAATAAAATCTTTTTTTTTATGAAAGCTTTTTTAAAATTATTTTTTTAAATTTATTTATCTTTAGAGGGGAAGGGAAGGAGGGAGGGAGAGAAGTATCAATGTATGGTTGCCTTTCATGCGTCCCCTGCTGGGAAGTGGTCTACAGGGAACCGGTCTGCAACACCGGTATGTGCCCTGACTGGGAATCGAACCGCGATTGTCTGGTTCGCAAGCCCTCACTCAATCCACTGAGCTACACCAGCCAGGAGAAATAAAATCTTTTTTAAAAACAGAGTAAGACTATTTTTTGAGCCAGAGTTGCGGTGTGGGTTTCAAGATGGCAGACAGTTACCTACTCACAGCCCTGGAAGCAGCCCACCTGAGGCTAGAGACCATAAGGGTGGATCCGAGGTCACACGTGATTTTCAGAGTGAGTGGGGGAGAGAGTGAATCGTGTCAAGATTCCTGCCCTGACCTGGTAGTGCAGTTGGTTCCAGCATCATCATCCGGATATGCCGAGGTTGCAGTTTGATCCCCAGTCAGAGCACATACAAGAAGAAACCAATGAACGCATAAATAAGTGGAACAACAAATCGACATTTCTCGCTCTCTCTCCCGCCTCTCTAAAATCAATAAATAAAAAATTTTAAAATATTCCTAACACTGCTCCCAAGGTTTAGGCAACAACAGCATGTGGTTTGTTTGCAACTGTTATCTGCCCACATGCTCTTTTGGAAAATGTCAGCTTTTTCCTCTACAGGGTCCCAGACTTGTCCAGATTAACACATCTCTGGCCACTTTACCCAGTGCCAGTTCAGCATGTTTCAGACTAAGTCTCCAGAGAAAGCGTTTGTTTTCCGTTTCAGTATTTTGGGTGATTGGGTTGTGTTTTCTGGGTTTGTTTTCCGTAAGTATGTTCCCGCACTCTGGTTTGTTTGGTTTGGTTTGGTTTGGTTCAGAAAGACTAGAAGGGAATTTAGGAAAAGGGTCAGCTTCCTGGGCCCCGAGTCGGGTCCCTGACACAGAACCCAGTGATCTAGGTGCTGGCTTCTCTGCCCCTGACCCTTCCAGTGGCGGGTCCACCGAAACCAAAAACAGGTGGAGACTTTGCTGAAAGGTGGGAGAGAAGGAAGAGAAGACCAGAGAGAACGGGTTCCATTTCAAAGGGTTAAGTGGATTCATTACAAACAGCCTGGAGGCCTGTCCAGCTGGTGGGAGAGCACAGAACAAAAGCCTAGTGTAGGGGAGCAGAGAAGGTCTGGACATCAGGTGCCTCAGGGGTTGCCGAGACCCGGCATACCAGCGCTGGGCGCACCTGTTCGGTGTGGTCTACCTCCTGGCTCTCCTGAGAGAAAGCCGACACAGGGTGAAGAATAAACAGGTTTTGGCTGGAGGCTTAGTTGAGTCTCCTTCAGCATCACAGAGACTCTGGATGAGCAGCCGAGGAAGGAGGTGGACTATCAGCTGCTACACGTGGGCCCCCTTTGTCTGGCACCTCGAGGTACCAGGTGGGTGGTGGGGCGGAGAAGAGACCCAAGTCAGTGGCTGGAGGAGGTGACTTGGGTCCTTCCCTAGCGCCTTCCAGAACTTAAGTAGGAAATTGCGAAACAGGGCTACATTTTAAAAGAGAAAGTATGTGAAATATGGTTCCTCCCTCCCCTGTCCGCTCTCCCGGAGCTTGGTGGGTGAGATGGGTTCCTGGCTGGACTAGGTCTGGTGTGAGAAAGAGGGCAGAGCCAGGCCCCCAAAGGCTCCTTAGGCCACGCCGCGGCAGCTGTCAGCCTTTGGTTATTGATTATTGTTAATGGGATGTACTGTTTGCATCTGGTGAGCATCAGCCTAGCCCCTGGATAAAGACGGCTCCTTCTTCTGGCTGAGTTTTGTCTCCTGAAAGGGCTGGCTTCTGAGGGCTCCCTCTGCAACCCAATATGTACCATGGGCTGCTGATTAAATAGTTGGAATGTCTTCAGGTCAAGCCAGGCCTGTCCATAAAATGGGAGGCATTTTGGCAGTTCCAAGGCCCCTGGCACCCAGTCTTGGCACTGGACCGTCTGTCTTCTTCAAGGAGCTGCGGTGGGCCTCCCGCCAGCATGCTTCCCTGG